GGAGGTATTTAAAAGACGAGTAGATGAGGCGCTTAGGGACATGGTTTAGTGGGCATGGTGGTGTTGGGTCGATGGTTGGACTTGATGATCTTAGAGGTCTTTTCCAACCTTAATGATTCTATGATTCTATGATTCTTAAACCCGTTGGCAGTTCAACAGTCCCAGAATGATACTTGATGTGTGCAGTGATAGTTGTATAAAATTCATATGCTTTCATTAAATGGAGCATCTTCACAATCTATGCTGATCACCTTCAGTATGTAAAAATGTGTTACTGTAGGCGGGCTAGTTTGTAATATTTGGCTCAGACCAGGAGAAATATAGTAAGATATTGGGAACAGAATCAGCAAAGACTCCAATCTAAAATTCGACTTACATTGCCAAGACAAATCAGAGAAAGTAAACAAAAAGCTTCAATCAATTCAAGTGTAAATATGCTTTGCTATGCTTTGATAAAAGCAGCATTTTTAAACTGCGTTGAACTGAACTCCAAAAGTTAGTATATTTAGTTACGTGAAAAAGCACTGTTAAGAAATCAGGGAAACCAGGGCACAACTGCAATAATTTTAAGGTTTATTTATAGCCTGCAACATCTAAGCAAAATAAATTAAAGTTGAATATTTCAGTGGGTAGAACTATATATATGATACCTAAGTTTGCCAGGTCAAAAAAATCAGATGTGAAAGCCGTATTATACTTGTATTCATTTTCTATTTTCATTTTCTTTTATGTGCTCTTTTTAATAGCCACTGTTATGAACCTAGGAAAATCTATAAATACTGTGTTATTTGAAACTTTGGAATCACAGCCTTCAAAAGCCAAGTGTAAACCTCTAACCCCAACAGCTTTAGTCTGATGTATTGCTTCTGTGAGGGTACATGAGCAATGATGAGACTAGCAGCAAGTGCAAGGGATAAATTATTAGCTACTGAAATGATGGGGGAGAGATTACTGTGTCAAGAAGAAAAGCTGAAGTTTCTTTCCCTTAGGAAAGAAGGCTAGGAGTGTTTAGCAGAGATATCAGTTCAAGTACAAGCATCTCCCCAGCAACTGCTCTAGACTAGAGATCAGAATAAAACCAAAGATACTTGAAGTAGCCTGTTTTTCGGCACTGGATCCATGAAATGAGAGCAAAAGATTTGTGATAATATCCAGATGTTAAACTCTTACTCCCAAATATATTAGAAACAAAAACATTCGGAGCCAGTAGTCTCCCGAGAGCGTCGTGGAGCCATTTGTTACCCTCACAGGACAAGGGAAGCCACCCCCTATACAGCTTTGGCTGCAGGGGTGCACTGGGTGCATCGTGGCACCCCTGCAGTGCTCTCAGAGCCTTCCAGCCTAGTTTCTTCGAAGTCCCACTCCCTGCACTTCTTCACAGTATTCCCGCACGTCTTATCAACATCATGGGCTATTAACTTTGTAAATTTGGGTTACACTAATGCATTTAAATCCTATAGAGATTAAGTTACGCGCGATAAACAGAGCACAAGAGAGGCTGAGATACCACCAACCTTCACAGCTTCTGCACTTGTAGCAAACTGATGAGATTAGGTATCCCCAAATCAGCCAGCAGATGATCCATGGGAAGACAGGAAAAAAACCACCAGGATTCTTGCTGGTCTGACCTGTGCAAAATTCCTTCTGACCTGAAATCTGTCCATCACATTCATCCCAGTGGTCTGAGCAGCACATGCCAGCAGGCTGTCCAAGAACATGGATTCTCTGTAGTATCACAGAACACCCTCTGAGGATTATCTCCAGTGTCCATCCACTGCTCAGGGCTTCAGGGAGTGGCAGCAAAATAAAACTCAGAGCATATCTGGTCATTTCTGGGTTAAGGGAAAAGTTAGCAGGGGCTGCTACGGCACCTGGTCTGATTCTCCCCCAGGTGTCTCTTACCCATGAAAATTGCTTCATTTCAGAAACCGCAGAGCAGATAATGATGAGTTATATCACTCCTCTTGTAGTCTGTCAGGACATTTAATTTCAAGGATATTACTTCTTCCTGTGAGGCTGAATTTTTCTGACTTCATCACCCAGCTTTTGGCTCTTGTAGCATTCTTGATAACAAGGTTGAAAATCCTCATTTAACTTACCTATACGCAAGTGATTAAGTAATCTCTCAACACTGTCTTTGCTAGGTAAGACACTTTAAGATTCATTTTATATGGCTTGCTTTTTAGACCCGATCATTTTTGTGGTCTTCCTTTCAATTCTTCGGGGGTTTCATATGCCTTTTGAAGTGGGTTAATCAGATCAGGATATGCTGTACCAGCAATGGGCTCAGCAAAGTGGTTACTTAGCAAAAGGAAGGTCATCTCTCTACTCTTATGTGGCATTCCTCTTTTTAAACATTTTTAATGCAGCATCATATTAGTGCTCTTTCATACAGTGATAGGTTGAGGTGATAATCCATTATGACCTTTAAAATTTGGTGAATCACACCTTTCTAAACAGAGGATTTTATCCTGTAGGAATAATCAGGAAATGTTTATTTCCGTGTGTGTTCCTTCCATTTGATTATATTAAAATTCATTTCTTGTCATTCAACTTTTTAGCTGAATAATTCAGGTAACTCTGCAATGACTGTTTTCTTCTACCACTCTAACTGCAGACTTAGACATCATACATTTAATAGTTGTCTAAATTATTGATAAAAACATACGGATATATAAAATTTGAGGAGCCTTCCAGAACTAATTCCTTTAACAAAGAGTTAGACAACATTTTTAAGAATTATCAACAAGTCCATTTTTTAGTCTAAGGCCTGCCTTTTAAATTTCATAAAGTTTAAGGTTCTTATTTTTAAAGAACCCACGTTTTTTTAGATTGACATTTTAAACAGTTTTTTTCAGACTTTATTACTCAACCAATATTCTTTTTCCTGTATTGACTGCATTATATTTGCAGGTCACTTTTTAACAAAACAATATTAATTCAAGCTTATAAAAATGCATATCTAGTGACCATTCACCACAGAATTATTTAATTGGCACTATAAATTCGAATGTCAAACAATTATAGAATGTTCTTTTTGCGTTTTCCAGTGAAACAATTCAGAATTTTTTGGCCGTCTCTTCTCAGGTTCTTTCCCTTACAAGGGGGATCCTGATGACAGTCAGGGGCATTTACTTCATGACAGAGATGTCATGTGTTGTAGCTCAGAAATTATCAAAATAACCATGAAGTCATCTATTCTGTTTTGAATCCCTAGTAATTTATAATAGATTTATATCAAATCCAATTATACCAAGTATATTTTTATATGATGTCTTTTTAGAAAATAATTTTGTTTAGTTAAAATCTCAGGCAGAATACTCCTCTTTGCCATATAATGATATTACATTTCTTTACCAAGAGCATTGTATTTCTATAGGTTTCAGCAGATCCCTGCTAGTACCGCATTTTCTTTGCACAGAGCACGAGGAAAGACCAGAGGGATAGAACGGCAGTTTTTAGTTTGTGCATATATTCAAAGATGCTTTCATTAAATGTTTATCTCCTTCCATAAATAAACCACACAGTGTACCACACAGCAATGACATAATTAACTGCTTGTAATATCAGAGGATGTTACCATGGGAATGAATGATGGTTCTGAAATATTACTACTTAGCGCTATGTGTAGAAATTAGAAATAGGTTTTTGATTCTGAAAATGGAGGAAAGTCATTCTGTGATCTTTGTCTCCTTCTTAGGGCTATGCATCAGAAAGAGCTTTACTTTTCTTCCCCCTCTCCTTTAACCACTGAAGAACTAAGGTGGAATGCCTTTTAACGCCTCCAAGGACAAATGTTGAAATTTTTATATGTAAAATGGCCAGACAGGGAAGCAGA